AAACCATATCCTAATGAGGACACAGATGGATATGGATTTGGTCTACTAATTTCGCCGGCGGTTGGCGACAAAACTGCGACATCTCGCAACCAAATTGTTTGCTGGGTTCATATTACATCTATTACATATATTACATTATCTTATATTACTCTGTTTTTCTTCTTTTTCTTATATATCTTATAAACCTTAACTTATCTAATCTTATCTTAGTTAACTAAGTTTCCTCTCTACCCTTAGCCCTTATATGTTTCCTAGTTCTTCCTTTCAGTTAGTTAGTCTACCTCTCTTTCCTCCTCCTCTTCCACCATTTGACTAGAGTTTTCTTTTTCTACCTTCCTTTTCTCTCTGAGTCTTTTTTCTTTTTCTTTCCACAACTAAAACCCTACCTTTTTCTTTTCCTAGCTTATCATCGAATATGTTTTCAATTCTTTCCTTCTTGTCTTTGCCTAGTATATTAAACCATTCCTTATTTGACTCGCAATCCTCCATATAGTGTACTATATATCATCCTTCCCTTTCTCACAGAAGATACTTTCTCTTTCCTTCTTCTATCCAGTATTTATTGTTTTCCTCCATATTCCCACATCTTACTCTTATTAATGCTCTTACTCGGTCTCCTTCCTCACTCTCTTCCTGCCTCTCTTTTCGCAGATAACATGGCCCCTCCTCCTCTTTATACAATTCCTTATACCTACTATTGTATCTCGCTTCCCTTATTTGACTTTCCTGTATCTGTTTTTGTATATCTCTTTCTCTTTCTATTATCATCCTCTCAACATCTACTTCTATATTCGAGTCTAGTAGATTTTCAAAAGCTTCTATTCCCCACCCATTTCTGTTCAAATACCTTTCTTTCTTTTTACTATATTTATCCTTTTTCCCATTCTCTTTTTTCTCTTCGCTGCACAGCTTGACTAAGTTATTTTCACTATATCCCCTTACCTTCATGTCGTACCTCAGTGCTCTAGTACCCCATCTAATTTTCATTTTTTCCTTTCCTACCTCTCTCAGTATAATATATCTTTGGGGTGCAAAAGTCTAATCTGAATACCCATCTTATGTAGTCCATCATAATTTTCTCTAATTCTTTCTTCTTCTCCCATCCCCATATTTCTATTCCATAGGACATAACGCTTTGCACTAGATATCTAAAGAGTGTCCACCTTCTCTTAAAGTCGTTCCTGCAGATTCTCTCTCCCAGTCCCCACACCTTATTCACTGCTATCCTCCCTTTTCTACAGAGTTCCTTAATGTGGTCCTTGTAATCGCCCTTTCTATTAAACGTGAAACCTAAGTACTTAAAACACCTAACCTTTTCTATATTCTTCTTATCCCATCTAACTTGATCGCTGTCTTTGCCTCCTCTACTATTGAACACAACTAACTTAGATTTATCCGCACAGAGTTCCAGTTTCCTATATTTCAAAAATCTCTTNAGTGTGCCCATCATGTCCTCCATCGCTGTTTTATTCTTCGCCAATAGGACGATGTCATCTGCATAGGCAAGCGACCAAATTCTTCTGTTTCCTATAGTAACTCCTCCTATATGTCTCTTCGCCAGTTCCTCCTCCAGGTCCGCAATATATAGATTGAAAAGCGTAGGGCTCAATACGCACCTCTGCCTTACTCCCTTATTCACCTTAAATCCTCTGGTGAGCCCCTTCGGAGTTCTGACCACTACTTCCGTTCTTGCATATATGTTTTTCAGCTTCCTTATCAATTCCTTATCCCTTTCTTTTCCATGATTCTCCACAACACTTCCCTATCTACGTTATCGAAGGCTGCTTTCAAATCAATGAACAATGCGTATACTTTCTCTTTCCCTTTCTCCTTGGCTTTTTTCCTCTGAACCACGTGATTTAACACATATATATTGTTTAGCGTCGATCTTCCCCAGACGGCACATGATATCATTTGATTGTAGAATGATATCGTTTCTACGTCATTTTCGTGATATCATGTGATATCACATCTCTGAAATATAACACAGATATTCTTCTAAGAATATTAGTACTGTTTTCTTTCAAGTATATTTCAAAGACATTGCTTAATGTATAGGAAATTTAAATGCAGTGTATTACACTCCCGTGATATTCTTATGATATTTTTGAAATATTTATTGATGATATCACAAATCTTCGCACAATATATTTTGCGCGAGATATGAAAATCAATTCTC